AACCCAGGACCTGAAATATAGTAAATGGTTTTATGGTTACCACGATAACCGAATTTTTGAGTGATGCATGCTGCTTTATTAATCTTCAAATAATTTCCGATTCTCTCAGATCAATGTAATTTTGTGAAGTTGTAGGGTAAAGAAGAGGAAAAGCGGTTCTTATTTTTTCGTACAAGTAATACAATCAACACCGTATTGTACACTTGTTCCTTTTTCTAAAAGACCCTATGCAAACTCTTTGTAACCTCCGATTTATTTCAATTGAATAATCTTTAACAGTGTGTTACAATGATTGAGACAAACGTGTCGAAATTTTAATATCAATAGCTTACGGCAGACTGTTTTAACATAAGAAAGACTGCTTGAAAACGGCGAGCCAAAATGCTTAAAGAGCATATTCCTGTGGTTCTGATTAATGCATAAAGCACACGATTGTATCAATGTTTTGGTGGGCGGTACAGCCCACGTTTCCACATTTTTTAAACGGGACGGAAACATAGAGCTTCATGTTTCCGTTACATTTACGTTTTTGCGGAAACGTGTACCAAGTCTTGGTGATTCTATCAAATTAAATAAAGAACTTTAAAGTTAGGCTTTGTTTCAGTCCCTCGATTGCCTATTGGAGTGATTAGTATCGAGTGTTTTAGTGGCAAAGTCTGTGGTGTGATCGGTTCATATCTAGACTACCTGGAAGAAATTATGTTTTTCTCCGCTCAATTCTTTCGTGGTGTATTGCTCTTTTATTTTGGTGGAGTAGTAATAGTAATCGCAGTAGCGATTTTGAAGATCTGGGAGAACAGAGAATCTGTGCTGAGAGAAATCAGAAGACAAATTGATTCAAACAAGGCTCGGCAGCCTGAAGAAAATGACGAGAGGTTTGACTATGAAGGTGAGAGTTATGATAGCAACGGGAACATTTTTTTTATGCGTTTAACAGATCTAAAGTTATCTTCAAAAGGTATCATGTATGTTAGTTCTTCTTTTAAAGAAATTTTCGACACCTCATTTTCCGGGTAGACGTGTTGCACGGGAAATGTTCGAACAGAAAAATAATTGTGTAATTGCTTGTGGCTCGCCAGAGATGAACATGTTTTTGCCAACAGATCAACAACAGTGTGGCTTTAATAACTCAAGGCAACACTCTAACATTTATTTATTTAAACCAGTTTTACTTTTCTAGAGAATGAAAGCGGAACGGAAGGTAAGCGACAAACAATCTTAAGTAATCAGCATCTCATTATGTAAAAAAATAATCTTGACTAATCAAAGGACGATTTCAAACTTCGCGCACTTCCGCTTGCTCTTCAAAATCCACACGTGGGAGGAGAAAGAAGTGACACTGACAGTGAAGACCTCTAACCCACATATTTTCTCTGTAAAAGCAAAAATAATTGTTGTGTTTGTGATAGTGACCATAGGACAAAAGGGTTTGCAATTTGTTTACATGATAATATGTAATAAGAATATAATTTCAATGAAGCCGATAAATAACTTATTAATCCTCTTTTTTTCTCTATCTCCAATCACTTTGGTTGACATGAAAATATGAAATGAATTTGTATAAGCAAAAGTGTCCTTAAATTGGTTGATAAGCGGCCTAAAAACCGTTTGTAGTTAATTTTTACCCTTCAAGAAAAGTACCCAGAAAGTTAAAACGTGTGGTATTTGGTTACACTGAATTAATCGATGGAACTTTATTCATTTAATAACCTAATTCTCTCAAACAATTTGTTCGTAGTGAACGGGCGAGCGAAGTTTTCAGTTCTACTACAAAGACGCTTTCGGCGAGTCTTTCCAGTTCCGTTCAATTTAGACATTTGTACCATAAATTACGCAACAGAAACTGAAGGAGTTCAATCCCCTTGTGTTTAGCTGAAGTGTCTCATTCGAATTTAGTTTTTGGGGAGGAAAGACCATATTTTCACACGCAATTGCGACAAACAAACGAGCAAGCTCTCACAACTTCAACGTAAAAAAATTGAATTTACTTACAAGTACTTCCCTTGCCATTTACCTACTGAACAGAGGTAAATCTTCGTACATTAACTAATTGTCGATGAGAGTTAATAATACTCTCCGAAAGATCATTAACTGTTTTCTAATAAAAGACTGTCATGACAGTCCTTACGAAACTAGTCCGTTGTTTTTTCCAAAAAGTGTACATGCGCTTTTTTTTCTTACGTGCTCTCTATTTGACAGGTGTCAGATTGTGACAAGTACCTGAATTACCCTTAGTACCTGTAAAAATAATGTTTCAAAGTTTGTTTGGAAACCTTTTAAATCACCTTTATCATTACGCAAATGAAAATCTTTCGCCTGAAGCATCTCTCTTTGATTTGCATTACCTGGATTTTAACTACCATTTACTCGCTCAAAAATTGTTCAGTTTATGGAATATCTTGTCGTAATTACAGTCCTAAATCATTCGGGTTCTTTCGGACAGAATTTTGTGAAGTTTAAGAAAAAAAAATGTTATTCACCAGCCTTGGTTGCGTCGTATTGGGAAAAACTGTGCCTGAGGTCTTGAGTGCCGCCCAAGGACGTAGGCACAGGGTACAGTTTTTCCCAATACGGACCTCCCGGCTGGCGAATAACATATATTTATCTGAGATTATTCATAGGCTCTCGGTCTTTCCAACGTATGAATCTAAAATTACTTTTCAAATTCTGATTTGTTTATGCTGAAGTCACAGTTTTGCTCCCATCCATCAAAATTTAAAATTTAGAACTTGAGTTCAAGTCATAACAGTTTTAAAAATGTGAGATATATCTTTGCACTCGCGTAGTTTGTATTCAATAAGAAGACGGGTGTTTAACATTTCAGTGTGAACTACCTTTAGGCGAGCGATTTATTCATGAGAAGTTGTCTTTTAGAAGGTTCTGCTCACAATTTTCAAAAGTCCATCGATAAAAGAGGCCCATTTTAAATTTTGTCCGAGAAAAGAGTGATGAAAAATGTTAAACCAAAGTGGCGTGACAACCAAATTTTATGCAAATCATGAATATAATAGGGGAATCCCGTTATTCTGGCAGGAAGATAAATGAAACATAAAGCATGACGAGCATTCGCTACTGCGAGCGAGTAAAAGGTACCCAGATTACAATAGCAATAAAAGAATAATTTGCGATTACTACTTCTTGTATTGGGATATCATTAGCACAGAGCCTAAAGCAGAGATGTTTCCATCCAAAGATATATGGCTGTGTGCTGTATCCGCCGCCATGAGTGCCATTATAGTACTCCTGGTGTTCGTGTTATTGTCAAGATGTGGGAATCAAGCGATGAGAACACGCAAAGTCCCACAAGAGCATGACGAAAGAATGGGCTAGTTGAAAACAAATTTTCGGTGAGTGAGCGAAAATAATTATGGGCAATAATCCATGGTCCAGGGATTCTTTCATATCATTCTAGTTTGCCTTTTATAAACGCAACAAACACGCTCAGCTCTGAGACATAAATGTTTTGTTTGAGAACTTTTACTTGTTACTTAGCTATAAAAATAAATCTTATAGTGTTGCCTCAAGATATTTTGATACGCGGTGAAATCTAGTCGTGGTTGCCTCTGAACTTGGAAATAAATTTAAAAACCTTAAAATAAAAGAAAAAAACAATGGAAGTTTCTTCGTGTTTCTTCCGTGTTTCTTGTATACTGAACCAGTATAACGCACAAGTGACCTGATAGAGCTGAGAGATTCTTAATACGCAACTTTGCTATAACGAATTTTTTATTAATTCACGTCTAGGAATAAAAAATATTCGTTCTCCAACTTATTATCTGAGACTATCCCTCAGAGCATCTCTCATTTCTTGGTAGAAATATAGACCCTATGCGTGAATATATATTATAACAGAGACTTGAAGAAACGTTTCCATTCGCGTCTCTCTTTCTCCTTTATGACGTATACGTTTAAAGATTGCCTTCGAACACCACGCGGAAGAAGAGGATGGTGAGCAGCTGAATGCTTAGTTTTGATTGGCTAACGTAAATGCTTATTCGACCAACTATTGTTTGATTTTTGTAATAGTGTAAATCATATGTCTTATGAGATTGTAGAGGTAGTGGCGTTACAATTCTTATCTGTTTGTCAAGTTCTTTTAAGTGTTGTCTTTAATAAACAAGAAATGAAAATTGCGTGATCTTTTTCCAGTCGCGTGACTTAAAGGAAGATCTCAGCTGTAAATGCAAATGTTCGATTTTTAAGTCAAAAGGTGATTTCAAGCATTCTTTACGCTCGTCAATTTATGTCGAGAAATTTATTTACGTTCACCGACAACTTCCAGATGGTTTTAAGGTTTCTGATCGTATTTAAATCAGAAATGAATTGATACATTCTGCTCCCGATTTTGAACCATTTCCACATCTCCTCGATCATAATTGTAAGCAAACTACCAGACTACTCAATAATCACGGTTTTAGTCTCTAGAAGACATACAAGAACAAATTCATTTGTTGAGACGAAGGGCTAACGCTCGAAACTTCAGCTTTAGAAAATATGGACAGTACACAATTTACATTATCACCTCAGATTATAAAACCAACTTATCGTGTAATACCCCCCACCGACGCTGTACCACAGTTTCTTTAGAGACTTACTCCTTCTATACTAAAACAAACTCTTGGAAATAAATGAGATCCTGTTTCTTTTAACTAATACGTTAGACAAGCCCTCTCAATTCGATTAAAACGTAAACAGATTTGCCAAATTGAGTGACAGTTCGCAAATACAAATGTTTTCATCTCATAATTGAAATGAAAATACGTTACGAGGGAAGGCCTTCCATTCATCTAGAAAGAACTTTTTTCCCGTGAAAACAACCTTTCCTGAGTTTACGTTAGCAGGCGGGTTGCGATGGCTTTTAAAAGTTATGGCTGGTAGAAGTTCGCATTAAAACCCGCAAGGGTAACTGTCATACGGACTCAACATACCTAACTACTTTGGGGAAGAGTTGTAACTTTGTTCACAGACTGTAGTAGATCTTTAAACATGCTTACTGGGCATCCTTTGAAATATGTATCATTATATGGCATAGAATGAGCATCGAGCCAGGTATTTGACTTGATATCGTAACACTCCACCATACGAGAATTCTGCCGATTGACACTTTGACTTCCGGTTCCGCCAAATAAGTATACCTGATCTCGTAAAAGGACTGAACAAATATCACCGCCAGAAAAGAAACATTTTGCCCTACTCCACACGATGTCATTTTGAATACCGATTGCGAAGCACGCGCGGAAAGTTCGAATTGAATTGCAAATATATTGCCGATATTTAATATTCATCTCACTTGTGTCAGGATCTTTACACGTGGAGCTCGGAACTACGCTTACCTGCTGGCTTTAAAGCCTCGAATTGCAGTTTTTTGGTCATACAACGCTTCTTTAAACATGTCCTAGACAGGAAGAATATCTGAAAGCGGAAGTTAAAATGTTTGGTGATTTGTATGTTAATCTTTGGTGCGTAACGTTCCTCGCTCGCGGGTTGCAGTCAGAGACAAGTCAACAGATTGAAACCACGAGAAGACAGGAGTTTAGACTTTTTTGAACTCATGTAAGTTACTTAGCTTCTTCTACTGTTCACAAAAAGCCGCTTACAATCACGATGTGTTTTGAGGGAGTATTAGCTCTCCTTTCCAATAATGTTGTTTACATATGAAATGTTGCAGTCGCAAACACGTTTAACGTAGTTTTTGCTGCACAAGCCAGCCTTTTTGTAGTCTTCAAGTTATAACTAAAAGTGTTTTGTATCCACGCTTTTTAAAAGGTGAATTAGCCAGTAAATTTTTAATGGATCAGTCGTTTCGCGCCGAGTTTAAACGGTTTCAGTTATATTGAGTATTCTGTTTTTATACCTGGTCACGACAGACATAACCGTGCATTGTTTTTTTCGTAGGAGAGAATGGTTTTCTTTAAGTTCTTTTCTTTTTTTTTTTCTTGGGTGGGGAGGGGGGATTGGAGACAAACTGATTTATATGTGAATGAAATGCTAACAATTATTCTAAAAAAATCAACGCTGAAAGGGGATTACTCTGACTCTCTGTGATGAGAGAATCGTGACCTGAATGGCATTGTGTTAAACGTTTAGGGGAATCCCCTTAAGGCGAACTCGGCCTGTGATTGGCTTGAACGATGTCCTATTATTTCGTTTTATTCTTTATCTTCCTCTGAAAGTGAAATTTCACACATTAACAGAGCGCAAGATAGAGAGGCTAAAAACTTAAGTTCAACGGTGTTATTAACTTGAACAACATATGTCATGTGATTTACCAGTTGACATATTTCAGTATCAGAAAAACCTACGCAAGACTAAGATCGTCGCACACAGGGAAGGGCGCTGAACAAGAGTTAGTAGAGACTAGTTGTGGAATGGAAACTTTTTCTGCTACTGTTCTCGTTCGGTTATCTCAACGCGCCTCATTAGTTATAAATCAAGAGGCAAAATTAATCTCAACCAAGACTTAATTGTTTTAGTTATGACCAACTTGCTTCATTAGCCACTTACTTTGCTTCAGTGATTGACATTTGGCTCATGATTTCTATTGTTTGATTTGACGTGCGGCTGCCCTAAAAAGTAATGATTTGTAAATGCATTTCCGCCATGATAGAGACGAGCGAGAATGGTGAGTTCTTTGATTGACGAATCCCAGTAATTTCTCATCCCTGTAGACTCTGTTAATACCGGCAGTGTTTGTGTGTGAGATTACGATGAACCTCCTGACGTCAATCAAATAGAAGTTTTGTCGACTAGTTAGTCATTTCGTTGGCCAAACATTTGCGGCGCGGGGATGTATAGAGTTAGGTGTGATCCCTCAAGATATGAATATTGCTTCAAAGCCCCGGAATTAAAGTCATTCGTCTCCGAACATCTTCCATAGTTTCCTGATTATTGGATATCTTTTTTGAAAATCTATTCACTAAATCAATGAAAAAAAGTCGAAATTTTTTGAAAACGAGTCTATTGTTTGATTTGACGTGCGGAAATTTTTTGAAAACGAGTCTATTGTTTGATTTGACGTGCGGCTGCCCTGCCCTATCTTTTTTGAAAATCTATTCACTAAATCAATGAAAAAAAGTCGAAATTTTTTGAAAACGAGTCTATTGTTTGATTTGACGTGCGGAAATTTTTTGAAAACGAGTCTATTGTTTGATTTGACGTTCGGCTGCCCTGCCCTATCTTTTTTGAAAATCTATTCACTAAATCAATGAAAAAAAGTCGAAATTTTTTGAAAACGAGTCTATTGTTTGATTTGACGTGTCGAAATTTTTTGAAAACGAGTCTATTGTTTGATTTGACGTGCGGCTGCCCTAAAAGTAATGATTTGTAAATGCATTTCCGCCATGATAGAGACGAGCGAGAATGGTGAGTTCTTTGATTGACGAATCCCAGTAATTTCTCATCCCTGTAGACTCTGTTAATACCGGCAGTGTTTGTGTGTGAGATTACGATGAACCTCCTGACGTCAATCAAATAGAAGTTTTGTCGACTAGTTAGTCATTTCGTTGGCCAAACATTTGCGGCGCGGGGATGTATAGAGTTAGGTGTGATCCCTCAAGATGTGAATATTGCTTCAAAGCCCCGGAATTAAAGTCATTCGTCTCCGAACATCTTCCATAGTTTCCTGATTATTGGATATCTTTTTTGAAAATCTATTCACTAAATCAATGAAAAAAGTCGAAATTTTTTGAAAACGAGTCTATTGTTTGATTTGACGTGCGGAAATTTTTTGAAAACGAGTCTATTGTTTGATTTGACGTACGGCTGCCCTGCCCCATCTTTTTTGAAAATCTATTCACTAAATCAATGAAAAAAAGTCGAAATTTTTTGAAAACGAGTCTATTGTTTGATTTGACGTGCGGAAATTTTTTGAAAACGAGTCTATTGTTTGATTTGACGTGCGGCTGCCCTGCCCTATCTTTTTTGAAAATCTATTCACTAAATCAATGAAAAGAAGTCGAAATTTTTTGAAAACGAGTCTATTGTTTGATTTGACGTGTCGAAATTTTTTGAAAACGAGTCTATTGTTTGATTTGACGTGCGGCTGCCCTAAAAGTAATGATTTGTAAATGCATTTCCGCCATGATAGAGACGAGCGAGAATGGTGAGTTCTTTGATTGACGAATCCCAGTAATTTCTCATCCCTGTAGACTCTGTTAATACCGGCAGTGTTTGTGTGTGAGATAACGATTTGATTACGATGAACCTCCTGACGTCAATCAAATATAAGTTTTGTCGACTAGTTAGTCATTTCGTTGGCCAAACATTTGCGGCGCGGGGATGTATAGAGTTAGGTGTGATCCCTCAAGATATGAATATTGCTTCAAAGCCCCGGAATTAAAGTCATTCGTCTCCGAACATCTTCCATAGTTTCCTGATTATTGGATATCTTTTTTGAAATCTATTCACTAAATCAATGAAAAAAAGTCGAAATTTTTTGAAAACGAGTCAGGCACGAGGTCCTGAGAGATAAAGGTCAAACACATACCTAAATTTAAAAGTTGGGTTCCCACGGAACAGCTTAATTTTATTCATACCTTGATCGATTACGCCATGTATTGATTGGTTAGTTGGGAGTAAGCTATCATTTCCAGTTGGGTTAAGTCGGAACAACTTAATTTTATCCATGTTTTGATTAGTTACGCCGTCAAAAGACACTTACGGAAAATTCGTTTACAGGAATTTACGATTCGATCGTGGACTTACAAAGAAGGACGAATGGAATTTTTGATGGCTAAATGTGTTATACTGTATTGCGCACTCTGTTTTAACAGGATAGTCTAAATATATGACTCAATGATATGCAGATATCCTTTAAATCGTGTAAAAAATGTTTCTCGTTAAGCTGTAGAATCAAGAAAGCAAATACAAAGCTAACAATAAAGCAAGTATAGAAAACCTGTCAGTCAGAAAATTATTCACGTTTTTTTCAGTCATTCTTTCCTTAAATGAAAATCGTTTTCAAAAAATTGTTATAACAGTTTGCACCGTCATATTTTATCAGTGACTTAATCACAGTCTTCGTCCAGTCCTCAAGATTTTTGGTTCGTTCACCTGACATGGTTTTCAGTCGGAGCGGAGAAGGATTAATACAAAGGGGGGGGGAGGAGGGGGGAAGGAGGGGGACTAAAGAAACCTGACTGCCAATGAGGGGGTGGGGGGAAATGAGGATGTTACATAGCCTTATGGGTAGATTAGGGAAATTTAATCGTGACACAAATAAAATCCGCCCACTAACCCCCTCCCAGGCATTAAGTAAAACCCCCCGGTTGTTTGTCACAGACGACTATAGCCAACCGTTGGTTACAATTTTAATGGGGCACCGTTAATGAAGTTGGTGGACTCCTCACTTTCCTTATTTCAACGATTACACTCAAAGGTTGAAGATTAATTATCCTATTTTCAAAATTTCACCGTATTCACTCATATTCAAAATTACAATGTTAAAATGTTCTGAGTGAGTAAAGCCCAGTTCACACGTGCGATGGTTCTGTTGCCGTATTGTTGGTCGTGTGACGACCCTCGCTCATAATCCTCAGGATTATGAAACTGAAACTTTCAGGTTGTCTTATTATAACCCATTCAGGGCGGCAGAAGTACGTCATTTTCAACAACTTGTCGAAAGCGAACTTTGCAAGTCAGTTTTTGGTACATCTCGCTATAAAAGGCAGAGACGGCAAGGACTAGCACAGCTTCCCAATTTCGTAAGCTGAAGATTTCCAGCGGCGTCCATAGAATATTTCATTAATTGCCTATCAACCGCAAACTTTGAGAGATGTTTTCACCGGAGGAATTATTTTTGAGTACATTGTTTGGTTTCATCGGCGGCGTTCTAACTGTGCTTGTTTTTAAACTGTTGGAGTGGATGGGAGAGAAAAGACGTGAAAACACTGAGAAAAAAAAGCAGCCCCAAGAAAATGACGAGAGGTCCTCATGAAAAGGTAAGCACTTGTGTTTAAACTGAGAAAACGGAGAAATCAATTAATTCTTCCAATTATACCGGAGTGTTCTCTTCCGACCATTTAGCTAAAATAATCGCGTTGAGTTCAGTGTTACCCGAATGCTGATAACACCAGTGAGTGATGTACCTGCTTTAAATACAAATTTTGAAAGTTATATTCGGAGTTGCCTTTAGTTTGCTCAATTTTTTTTCACTATTTGTCCTTTACAATAAATACGCGAAAGTTTAACTGCCGCTGTTTTGTAATCAGCGCCCAGCAACGCCTCGAAGAGTAATGCTTACCGAAGCATTTCAGTCGCAAGCATATCATTAGACGTGGCAGGAAAACGGCTGCTAATGCGACTATACATTCTTTAGATTGAATATTAATTGAGGAAGTGAAATTCCTTTCGAAGCCTCATTGCCTTTGAGGCTTGCCCCTCAAAAAACATTAGGTTTAGAAATCCATAGCTTCACAAGAATTAATTCAGGATAATTTAGATCCAGATGGTTGGGCTTGTAAAGATCTGTTAAAACTGGTATGCTGCGACTTTTGGAAATAAAAACACCACACAAATAGCGTCACGTGATATATATTAACTGTCACACTTCATAGGGGCATTATTTATTCATATATGTTAAACATTGTCTGTGCATTTGGTTAACTCAAATTTTAACGTGGTGTAATTTTCGTATCATTGCACAGCCTCGCAGGTCAGGCGCTGGGCAAATAGTTTGGTTGGTACTGAGCGTGTTTTACCTACTAAAGCTTGTGGTGAGATTTGTCTATAACAAGGCGAATTCAGGAGAAATGGCTTTTTACTCTGATCCATTTTTGCGTGGTGCATTCTTCTTCGCTGTTGGTGCAGTTTCCTCGGTAGCGATTTTAAAGATCTGGGAAAATAGAGAATCATTGCTGAGAGAAATCAGGAGACGATTTGATTCAAATGAAACCCGGCAGCCAGAAGAACACGACGAGAGGTTTGACTGAGAAGGTAAGAATTCTGTAAGTTATGAGAATATTTTATCAAAGTTTGACAGATTAATGGTTATTTCGGGAAAACTTTGATGCGTGTAAACAACGACTTTTTCGACAGAGAAAGGGAAACTGTTTCCTCCGCGCAAACTGTCCTAGCCGATCAAGTTGATATTCTCTCGTGCAGACGCTATCTTTATTATCATTTTTCTGTTCTATCTTTTTCTCGTAAAAAGCTAGTTTTTTTTTTTCAGATTGTAGTACGCGCGACTCAACCGCGGAATATCGAATAGTTCATATACAGGAGCAAGCTCGGTATATGGATGTTCCATTTATTGTCACTGCTCTAATCCAGACTGTAATTTTTTACTTTTGCAACAATTCATCGTGGCAAAATTTCTTTCCACTTGTTCCCCTGCGAGGTAAAATACCTCGCAACTTTGCGAACGAATTTCCGGAGTGATCGTGATCGTGATCGTGATCGTCAGGCTGTGGTCAAATAAGGCATCGCGGCTGATAGTTCGTTTTCCGTTTTGAGAATATTAAATTAGGAGTGATCATCACGCTGTGGGTCCAAAGGGCACCACGGCTGAACACTGATAGTTTGTTTTCCGTTTTAGAAGCTCAAGTGTAATGCGAAAGACTTGAAGAGTATTTAAACATCTTAAAATGTTTTCAAAAATCTTGAATAAATCCAATCCTGTTGCTATTTCATATTTTTTTCTTTGTGTTTTTAGACAAATGCGGCTCACGGGATGACGGACAAAGAAGAGTAAAGATCTGTTATTTGGTTTACAGACTTCATCACATAACAGATAGATTCAAGTTAGAACAGAACTTGTAGTTCATGTATATCTTGAATTGTATTAAAGTTTTTTCATTTGTAAATCTTCAGGTAATACCTAAATTTTGTTCTATTTACGCTTTGATGAATCATGCATGAGATAGTAAATGTTAAATAGATTACTGTGTCACCGGGTTTATAAATACTTGCAATTATATTGTTTTCTGATTTTGTCCTTAGTCACGACGGTCACGACAGGTCTGGCCGTGCTGCTTTCTTACGAAGATGTAAAGTTTCCTTTTAAAGTGTCTTTTTGTAAGGATTTTAGACAAATATATTGATTTGTGAATGAAAGACTGACAATAATTGAAAAAAATTAACACCGAAAGAGAATTCGCCCTTGGTTCTCTGTAATGGGGGAATGGCATTGTGTTTCAACATTTGGGGGAATCCCCGAAAAGTGAACTCAGTCGTTGATTGGTTTAAAGGATGTGCCTTTATTCTTTTTGATTCTATAATTTCCACTGAAAGTGAAATGCCACACATTGACGGTTTTTAAAATAGAGAAGGTAGAAACTTTACTTTAACCGTGTGTTCTCAACCTTAACAACATGTGCCCTATAATTTACAGTTACGGTTTTGGATTTCCGGATTCATAGTTGCGGTTGCGGTTGCGGTTGCGGTTGCGGTTGCGGTTGCGGTTGCGGTTGCGGTTGCGGTTTTTCGATTTTCGGAATTTACGGTTGAGATTGCGGTTGCGGTTGCGGTTGCGGTTTTCGGAAACTTCTTTTCAGGACATAAGATTTCCGGGTTTGTTGAAACACACTCGTGTAATATTGCTGCATCGCAGTTTTGATTGACCGTGGCCAACGTGAGCCGTACAATGGTAAATAAAACACTGAACGTGATGAGTGTTTGTTGTTTCTGCGTATCGGATTAGCATTTGACAACAGCTATGAGTTAATTTTCACCTGCTGATAGTCAACACATCCTTTCCAAAAAGATTCAACGCATTAAGCTATTTAAAGTATCTGCTCTCATCAGACGACATTTGATTGACATTTCTAATGAGGAAAAATGAGAATGTCTATGGTGACGTAAAAACGCGTCGTTGCCTCGTGCCACCTCATACACCGAGATGAGAGGAGCGAATCAGACAGAAAAGTCGTCGGTACCAACTCATTTGCCTTTAATCATATCTGGTGGTGGGCTACCTAAAGCACAGAAATTAAACCCGAGATGTCTCCATCAAAGGATATATGGCTGTGTGCTGTGTCTGCTGCCATGAGTGCCATTATAGTACTATAGGCTTTGTGTACAAATATTGATCGGATATGCTGCTCAGTCGAACTCCGCAAAATGTTGCTCCTTCTCGTCTTGATTTTGCGCGATCCATTCTAGAACGATTTCGAAGACTTCTTCTTCGGTTCCAATTACTAAGACGTCGCCTGAAATAAGATCCTTTATATGATGACAGGAAATTTGCACGAATTCCTTGGACTTGCCGACCGTCGCGAAGTTCTGCTTGATTAATTCGCCAGCGTATGTTTTCAACTCCTTGCAATCGTATTTCTCAGCATATAGAAAGGTAGCAACGCAATTTTTGGTCGACATATGCCGCTCCTTAAACTTGCAAGCGATGTTTTTTAGACGAGGAAGTAGTAATTAGTTCTCGGACGCGATCAGATCATCGACATTTGCCTCGCTCATTTGAACCTCTCCTGTGTAAAGGTAGGACGAGAACTCATTCATCGCCGAAAATTCCTTCGATATTTACGATTGACGCCGATTTTTCTTTCATATCGTTGGTAAATAAACCTTGAAAAAATTGGCTACTGGCTGCCAAAACACATCGGTGAGCGGGGAATGTTTTTCCTTCCACTCACAGAGTAACATCTGTCAATTCGCCTTCTTTGCGGGCATTGTCGAGTAACCGCATCATGTCCCAGTAGTACGGACTCTTAGCTGTGTTGCGTGGTTCTTTTGAGGCATTTTCGGCCATGTTTGCGCAAGAAAGACGCTTGTTTGCTTGACTACGAGTCTTTCTGACGAGAGAGATCACAACGCACCGTTGACAAAGTGGGTTATGTATTCGTTGAGGTCCAAACCAGCGCGTGACATAATTTAGTGTCATTGATATACATGCTTAATTTATACTAAATCTGATAGGTCAGGAAAAAATAGTTTGTTTTGTTTAGATTAGTGTTATGCTAAGACAATATTAATGGCACGATGTCGCTAAGATATTTGTATTCCGAAAAGGTATGTTATATGAAGAATTCCACTCAGAATCTAATCTAGTAAAAGAACATAAAGTGCTTCGATCGGAGGAATAAAACTAAATAAAACTGAGAATAAGGAACAAAAATACACCGTTTCGAAGCCATTTTAACTGGTGGTTGTAGTTTTGAGGTAAGATGCAAAAAAGGCGACAGAAGATAAAAGACCATATAAGAATTGATTCATACTTTCATGTACACAGTAGGATGAGATAAATCATGAGCGTTATGCTTTTAAGCATCACCCCTAAAATCATGGTATTATGCCCAAAATTATGCCCAAAGTTTTTTTATTAGGCTAAGTCAGGAGATTATATTCTCTGGGCTCAATTTAATACTCCCCCTCCTACCCCTTCCCCCTTATTTCTACCACCAACGAGGTAAAACTTGCTAGGAATAAAAGGCATACTGAAGTTCAGAAAATAATATTTTGTTCGTGATCAATGTTCAAAAGTGCAAGCGAGAAAAGCAGGCTATTGACCTGTTAAACAATACTCGGGCTGCAGAATTTATCTCTTGTAAAACTGAAACTTCAAGGGAATTTCTAAGAATTTATTCACTCTGCTGGCATCATGCTCGATGCTCTGACTGTGGCATTATTCTTAAAATCATACTAGTACAATTAGACCCTAGTATTCATGCAATTCGTGGCACTGATTTTGATAGGTCTCTGTGCAATTATGGGTATTTTCAGGTCAGTACTTCTGGAATGCTATTTATTTGTGTATAACATTTTCAAACTCTCTTACGACACAAGGATCTTGGACCTCCGGGATAAAAATATCACCGCCAGAAAAGAAACATTTTTCCCTACTCCACACGGTGTCATTTTGGATACTAATTGCGAGGCACGCGGAAAGTTCGAATTGAATTGCAAATATACTGCCGACGTTAAATATTCATCTTACTGGTACAAGGATCTTTACACGTGGAGCTCGGACCTACGCTAGCTTACTGCTGGCTTTAAAGCCTCAAATTGCAGTTTTTCGGTCAGACAACGCTTCTTTAAACTTTTCCTAAGCAGGAAGAATATCTGAAAGCGAAAGTTAAATTGTTTGGTGACCTGTATGTTAATCTTTGGTGTGTAACGGTCCTCGCTCGCGGGTTGCAGTCAGCGACGACAAGTCAACAAATTTAAACCACGAGAAGACAGAAGTTTAGACTTTTTTGAACTCATGTAAGTTATTTATCTTCTTCTACTGTTCACAAAAAGCCACTTACAATCACGGTGTGTTTTGAGGGAGCATCAGCTCCTCTTTCCAATAATGTTGTTTACATACGAAATGGGGAATTCTTATGCGTTAGGCGAATTCGAGTTAGGCACAGTCGAGGGTTTTGCACAACTTTCGGTTTCCAACTTTAAGACGTTTGGTTATGATCATGATTATTGATATCATCAAAAAGCGGCACGCAATCACACTTCCAATAACCGGAAGTTAGAATCAGCCAGTTGCAGACCATCAAGATCCCGTTGAACAAGAGCAGTGTTTCAACTTCCGTCTTTTGCCCGGAGGCCAATCAAGTTAGAATCAGCCAATCAAGATACTCCAAATAAATAGCGCGTATCATGTAAGGTCGTCAAGATTCGGTTAGACAGGAGTAGTGTTTGAACTTGCATCTGTTGCCCGGAGGCCAATCAAGTTAGAATCAGCCAATCAAGATACTCCAAATAACTAGCGCGTATCAAGTGAAGTGTAACAGTGGCTGTACACACTGCGATACACGAAGGTGAAAAGATGTGTGTGTCTCAAGATATTTGGATGTATGTCTTGTCCGCTGCTATCGGCGGCATAATATCATTTTTGGTGTTAAAATTTTGCAATTCGCCTCAGAATGAAGCAACAAGGAGGCCCAAGGTGCCAGTGGAACACGATGAAAGACAGGAATAGGAGACGATACCTACTTTATATCAAGGTGAGTGGAAGCGCTTTGTAGAGACGAAACGGAAGAAAGAAAAATTGATAAATTGCCGAATTCTAGTGTGTGACTAATCTACCATGGTGCACACTGCCCTGAACCTCCTGGCATCAATCATATGGGTGTTTTGTAGACTAGTTAGTAATTTGGCCGGCCAAACATTTGCGGCGCGGGCACGAGTAGAGTTAAGTGTGATTCCTTAAGATGTGAATGTTGCTTCAAAGCCCCGCGCGGAATCAAACCCATTCGTCTCTGAACATGTTCCACAGTTTTCTGATTATAAGATATCTTTTTTTGAAAATCTGTTCACTAAATCAACTAAAAAATCGAAATTTTTATGAAAACGAGTCACGCACGAGATCCTGAGAGAAGAAGATCCAAAAATAACTTAGGCTTAAAGTTTGGTTCAGGAGGAACACCTTAATTTTATTCATGCATTGATTAGTTACGCCATGTAATGATGAGTTAGTTGGCATTTAAGCATCATTTCCGTTTTGGTTCAGGTGGGACAGCTTAATTTTATCCATGTTTTGATTAGTTACGCCGTCAAAAGAGACTTACGGAAACTTTTGTTTACAGGAATTTACCATTCGATCATGGACTTACAACAGAGGAATGAACATAATTTTTGGTGGCTGAATTGTGTTATACTGTATTACGCATTCTGTTTTAACAGGACAGTCTAAATATATGACTCAATGATATGTAGATATCCTTTAAATCGTGTAAACAATGTTTCTCATTAAGCTGTAGAATCAAGAAAGCAAATACAAAGCAAACAACAAAGCAAGTACATCAGGCATAAAATTATTCAGTCTTTTTCAGTTATTCTTCCTTTAATGAAAATTGTTTTAAAAAAATTGTAATTGTAGTTTGCACCGCCATATTTTATCACTGAATAAAATTACAGTCTTTGTTCAGTCCACATGGTTTTCGTTCGTTCACATGGTTTTCAGTTAAAGTGGAGAGGGATCTGTACAAGGGGGGGGGGGGGGGGGCTAAAGAAACTTGACTGCCAATGAGGGATGGGGGAAAATAAGTTTATCAGATGGCCTTATGGGGGGATTAGGAAAATTAGGAAAATTTCATCGTGTCACGAACAAAATCCGCCCTCTTCCCCCCTGCCAGGCAATAAGTAAAACCCCCTGGTTGTTTGTCACAGACGACGATAGACAACCGTTGGTTATTATTTTAATGGGGCACCGTTAATGAAGTTGGTGGAATCCTCACTTCCCTTATTCCAACGATTACACTCAAAGGTTGAAGATTAATTATTATAGGTACATATATATTATATGTACCTGCTTTAAATACAACTTTTGCAAGTTGTATTCGGAGTTGTGGTCAGCGCCCAGCTACGCCGCGTGGAGCAAGCGAGTAAAGAGCTCACAGAAGCATTTCAGTCATAATCATATCATGTGATGTGACCGGAAACGGCTACGAATGCGACTATGCATTCCTTAGACTGAATATTAATTGAGGAAGTGAAATTTCTTTCGAAGCCTCATTGCCTTTTAGGCTTGCCCCTCAAAAAACATTAGGTTTAGAAATCCATAGCTTCACAAGAATCAAGTTTTTAGAATAAATTATATTATTGATGCTGCTTTTTGAGGCCGTCTTTCGGGAATATATTTATCGTTATTAAATAGAATTTTTGTTCTGTAGATGCTTGGGGCTTTCTGTTAAAAGAGAATTAGATTCAATGACACGAATGAAGTAACGCCACACGATCCTTTAGCATTAATTGCTCACAAGCCCCATTCAACTGACAGATCAGTTGATTCTTTTGCCTTTTTTTGTATCTATTTATTTATGTGATTTCCGAGACACAAGTTGGCATGTTTCTATTGTGTAATCCGTTATTTAACTAAGGAGAGGGAAGAGTGCTCGTTTCATGTCATGGTTTTGTTTTTCAAGGTACACAGTTAATTATGGAGCGAAAAGTAGAAGTTGTGAGCGATTAGTGTTTGGAATTCAATACAGCACAGGCGAATGTAGAGCAAAGAATTTGATTTTCCTGACTTGTATTAACAGATCATCGCAATCCTGTTAAGTTCATCCAGTACAAGTAAACTTAGTAAATAAAAAACACAAGATCTCCGAAAAGAAGCGGAAGGGGAATCTCCTGACTGACTCCTTCTCATCCTCGCTCAAACCTGTGTTTTAATGCGGCGAACCACTAGACAAGACAGCCTCTATGCCTTGAGATCGGGACACGTAATACGATTTAACTTAACATAGCTAAAGACTACAAACTTCTTCCACGAATGCAGCCTGAACCATGTTCATTGTGATCGAATCACGGCGTTATATTGTATATAAAGACGTCATATAACCAAAGGCTACAAACCTCGGGCTTTTAGAGACGACTTGTTATTTGTTTGAGGAACTGTTAAATTCAAGCCCTTTTATTCAAACTCTGCTTGAAGGCGTTTAATGAAAGTCAAGATTGGGTAACGTGGCGTGACATTTAAAAAAAACCGCAATTCTTATATCTATATCTAAAAAATCCTGGCCCCTTCGCTTGAGTCCTTGCGTCCTGGTCGACCATTTCAATTTCTTTGTCGGAGATGTTTATCTCAATTTCTGAACAATTGCATGAAAGCTCAGGATAATTTAGATCCTCCTGGTTGGGCCCGTAGAGATCTGTTAATACTGGTTTGTTGCGACTTTTGCTTATGTTTCACATTTCAGAGGGGCATGAATATATTTGCATATGTACGTCGTAAAAAGAAACACCTACACTTCAGAGTTACATATTTTGTCAGAGGTACCCACTCAAGTTTACGCGTATACTTCATTTTAG